GTCCCCTTAGGTACATGCCTACCGGGAGTAGCTATCGGCAAGTTGGTTTTATATCGCATTTATCTTAGCTTATGGCAGTCCAAGATATCCTCGTCGAAAGGACAAAGCGGGCTTACCTTACGCCATGCGACCAAGGACTAGTTAAAACTATTCTACGTCGGCTATACCGGCGACCTAGTCTAGGCCCTGCTATATTTAGGATGGTCGAGGGCTAGGAGGGGCCGGATATATAACTAGTATTCCCTCGTTATTCTCTTAGGAAGCGAGTCCTATCGGCTAACGATGCTCGACATTATACGTATAGCGTATATATCGAACGCCTCCCAAGAGCAAGACCTAAAATGCCTTATAAGCTTAGGGGTACGGATTCGGGGGGGTTCGAATATAGCCGACCCCTATATAATTAGCAGACAAAAATCTAACCGTCGGAATATCCGCGAGCATGTTAGTGATTTTACCTGCATAACTCGGCCTAGGATAACGCATTTACGTAGCGAGAGTCCTAGTTAGCAACTTTCTATCCTAGACTAAGGTCGCTACGAAGGTTACCTCTTTCGCCCTTTTAGGCAAAGATACGGTTACCGATCGAACGTTAGCTAAGTGTCTTACGCGTTATATTTAATCTAGTTACTTGGAAAAGACGGTAGCGAGTCTAGACTCGATCCAATTTCCCCTCTCGAGGAGTCGTAATCTAACTAATGGTTAGCATTCGGAAAGATGGTTAGAGTAATTACGAGAGTCCGCGGTTTTAAAGTATGTAAGATTATAACCCTACGTAAGCTATACGGTTAGTCTAGCGCATGAAGCTATCTATCGACGAGGATCGATTAGCCCGACGATTCGACGTTAGAAGTAGAGCGACATTATAAGTAGGAGGGGTAACGGTATTGCCTAATATCGTATACATCCGCTATCGTAGGGATTACGATTAACGCTCCAGTTAGTCTTAAAACCGGATTATATAGCATAAAAATGAAAAGAACGCCTCTCCTATTAAGAGGGGTTTATAAATGCTAAGCTATTAGTCTAGTAATTTCGATCATGCGTCTTTTAAGGAAAGGACGGTCGGTATAACGTATAGTCAACATACCAGGCTTAAGATAGAACAGAAACGGGGAGGGTTTGGTTCTAGTAAAGTTATAGAATAAGCGTATATAGTTAGCCTCCCTCTTATCGATTTCAACTGCCACGAAATATAGGAGGCTAGTCTTCGTTCTTCTATTCAAGATGCCAGAGTTAAAATTCAAGGCCTAGGAGCCGCCGAAGCGAAAGCGGAAAGCAGCTAGCTTACCGGCAGCCAAGCATATACACTAGCGCCTAAGTCTAGCGTAAGATCCTTCGGCCGAGGGTAGCCGTAGCTCTTAAAATGGCGTTAAGCTAGTTAGCTCCGTTTAAGTATAAAGTAAGTCTCTAAATCTATCTCTCCTTAAGCTTTTCTAACCTATGTTTATTAGAATATCATTATAATGTCTTCCTAGCGATCGATATTTTCGACATCGACACGGCCTTATTAATCTTTAATAATAATATATATATCGAATCCGATATTATCCGTTAGGACCTCGGCCCTATAAACCTTATAGGTCCTTCTTAGGCCTCACCTTCGATTACGTAATTTCACCTCCCATATTATAATATAAACGACAAGGTAAATAACCGTAAGTATTTAAAATTTCAGTCCTACGACGATCTTATAACTAATATTCTCCTTTATAGCTCCTATGGAAAGTAAAGACGGTAATCATAACGTCGACTCCGGCGACTAAACTTAGTTTATAGAGATACCTATCTCAAGCCCGGAACATATAGATAAAGAATTAGCCTATACCGAAGATTATACCGCTATAGTCGATTCATTTAAAGATGCCCCATTAGTCCCTTTTACTTACGATCTATCTCCTCCCTTCGGTAATGGAGCTATTAGCGATATACTCTTAAAAGGGCCATTAAGAAACGAGAGTAACAACGCTAGCTAGTCGCTAAGCGAGTACTTCTCTAAGAAAGCGGTCGACGGAGATCTCCGACCAGAGATACGATCGTATAGGGGGAGCTTAATCTATAACGGCTCCGAACCATCTACCTCGAGCCCAAGCTATACAGAGCATAATCCGGCTAATATAGACGGTTCCTCTATCGGAGCGGATTTACCTACGGCTGCTCTAATAGCCTATTCGCCGAGTAAAGATCCGGCCCCTAGCCGCCTAGTAGAGAGCTCTCCTAAGTTAATTATAGAAGAGTATCCGCGAGATAGGAACCGTTCCGTACTAATAGATTACGTTACCTCTTAAGTCCGGGCCGAGTTAACTCGGACGAGGAAGCGGCTTAATGAGGATAACTCGCTCGGTACAGGAAGTAATGGAACTCCTTAACCTAAAAGGCCAAAAAGTAATATACTACCGAACTAAACTACCTCGCGCCATAATACTTTAACTAGGACTTTACGCCCGTTACCATTTCGAATAAGAGCACGAAACTCTAGGAAATTTACTCCTAAAGGCGCAAATAACCGACTTAGCCACTCTCCGCATACTTAAAGGCAACCCTCGGAAAACTATCTTAAAAACCTAGCAATGAAACGCCGTGCTAGGGAACTACCTATACCTAACCATAATCGCAGACTAGGGAGTCCTACTTATAAGGGACCTAGTTAATAACGATTACTAACCAGTCGAACGGTTTTTTACTCTACCCGTTCGGTAAAGGCCATTTCGGGTAGAGAGACTCGAGGCTCTATAGCTTATAGCCGAAATCCACTAGATAAGTACCCCTGCTCGAACACTCCAGATTAAATGCGGCATTATAATTTAGCTAGCTCTAAAACCAAGGCTAGTAATGTAGTACGGATACCGAGCAAGTCTTTCTCTTTCGTAGACTCAAAACCTCTTGCTATAGAGTATAATGTTCACGGCTTCTCTACTAAACATATCCTTTAGCTTAGCGACTACGTTAAACATCTCCTTTAGGAAGGAGATAGCATATCTACGATATAGTTATTCTTAGGTTTCATCCGCGACTACGCCACCTAAAGGCATACCCATGGAAAGCCGGCTATAACTTATAGCCGCGCTTATAACGCCAAGGTTCGTAACTATACGTCTAACTCGAATTACGTATTTATATTTAATAACGGCAAATATAACGGAAGTTATGATAACGAAAGTAGCATTAACAGCTCCGAGGAGGATAGCGACGGGAGCTAAGCAGATAGCGACGACTCCGTTTCTTGCTAGAGTAAGTCTTATAATAACGGTATCGTAATACCTAGCAAGAGGCGATGGGAGCCTCTCGAAGAGGCGCGACTACGCGCATAGGTAATAGAGAAGAAGGAGTGGTTATGGATTACGAAGAAATTAAAGCGAAGTACCGGAGGTATATCATAGTACTAGGGGGTTATGTTAAAGCAAGGTATCGAAAGTATAGAGACGTAGGTCTAGAGAAACGATAAAAAGCTATGTAGCTAGTCGTCGAAACCCTGAATAAGCTAAAAATAATATTCAGGAGGCGAGAGAGATAATTTAGATTAGCTACCTCTTTTATACCCATAACCCTAATAAACCTAAGGCATCTATAATAATTCTAGTACCTTTCCTGCCTCTTACGCCGCTTCTTAGTTGCTCGTCTCTCCTCGTAATCGATTAGGGGTTTTAATGTCCGCTTCTATGCGTATAAAGAAAGACCTAGGCTCTTATTACTAGCAGAGAAGTAGTAGTCGATAACTTGCTAGCAGACGACGTCGACGAAACGCTTACGCGAGACCTTATAGTAGCTCTGAAGCACGTCCTAGACCTGGTCGACGACCTGCTCCGCGTTAAGTCTTAACCGTCGTTAAATTCTATAGTCGCTCTAGGGATATAAAGATACCTTATTTCAAGAAGTTTAGATTCGAATATTCCTAGTTCCCCTACAGCCTCTATTAATTTAGCTAGGCCGGCGTTTAAGGACTTTTGCAGATCTTTATATCGTATACGGAATCCCTCTACGCTCGATCTTAAGAAGAAACTTAATATGGTCGTCCATAGTTCGATCGTAAGACTTCTATAGTACTTCCAGAACGTAGTTATTCTATAGCTTACTTAGCATACGAGCATCTAAAGAAATGTAAATTAGTATCTGTCGAACGAAGTAATGGATAATAAGGACGGTACTAATCGATCGATTAGGCCTTCCATTACCGGCTTCGGATACCGCAGTCTTACTTATCTTAGTATGTAATTCCGTATAAAAGCTATTGAATACGTCTATTAATAATATAAGTCTCGTTCTTATTATAATATTTATAACCTTAATTTATTTAACTATTTTATTTTATATAAAACTAAGGAATATCGTAATCTATTATTCCTTATCGATAATAAAACCGGGCTTTACGTAATTACAAACGACTAACTATTATTTAGATATAAATTCTATCGGGTTTTCATCGTCGTATTATATCTTAATATAAAGTTATTATATTTTTTAAGAACGTAAATAGATTCTAATATATACGTTAATAAGAACTTAATAAATAATATAATAATAATCAGCGCGAGATTACTTTCTTACTTATCAACAACCTATAATATTTACATTTAAAGCTTAATGTATTATTAATTTCAATATATTATTAATTTTAATATTTTAAGTAGTTTCCATAAGTATTTGATGCCCTTCTGAGTTTATATACCTAACTTGAAAGTATTAAAGTTATTTAATATCTTTTCTTAATTTTATTTTATCTTTCTATTTCTTTTATTAGGTTTCTTTTCTTATAGAATCTATAATAATTATAAGCAATACCGCGTTATATAGTATTGTTTTTACTTTGAAAATAGTATTTGTATAAAAATCTTACTAACCTCTTGCACGTTTTAGGCATCCCAACCGCCTGGGCATAGGAGACCCGTATGAGCAATAGGACTACCTAACTGGCAACAACTAGCCTAGTGCCGATCGAACTAGATTAGAGTTGTAAACAGCGGTAATCAGTTGATCGGCCAGCTGAAACAGCAGCTGGGAAACGAAAAGAAGACTAGAGAATGATGGCAATTGGAGGAATATTGAAAAGAGTAATATTCCTGCTATGGAGGTCTACCAGGAGGTCTCTAGGATTAAGGTTAAACGATGAGAATCTGAGTGCGAGACCCATATAAATACTCATCGGAAAGGCTACGTAGCCTAGTCCCACCGCACCACTACAATATCTATACCCTAGCTCCGAAACATGCGAGGGCTATCATCGTACCGAACGCTTGACTGACCCGTTGTTAGAGGATTGGCTCGAACTTATAATTGTCTCTAGAGTCCCAGCAGTAGTATTCCTTTGTCGCGTAGCACCCTTGCGCCTCTTTCGCATCACACTTATGCATTCATCGCTATCCGCCATCGCCTGCAGTATCGACTGCGCAGGAGTATGAGACCCTAAAGATGGTGTAGACGAAGGCCTATTGGCTCCAACCCGAGAAGTCGGAGTCGTTATATGGACTTCGTACTGGTCGCTTAGAGAGAATCTAGAACCTGCACAGATTTCGGCGATTTGATCCAAATCCATAATTACATCCTCCTGTATGTCTGCCATGATACCTTTAAAGGTAAAAGCTTGAAGAGAAGGAAGTTTGAGGTCGGCTGCAACACGGGATTTTTCATTTCCCTTATGGGTTATGTTCGGGGTTATAACATCGCGGCTAGGACGCCAGGAGTACCCATTGGACGTTGGAGTGGCCGGGACGGACACCTGACCCCTTGTGGATGAGGGTGTATTGGTGCTCGAATAAGTGCGGACGACAACGGGTTGGGAGTAGACCCCGGTTGTGCTCTTGATGAGCGACAGGTCACCGCCTGCGCCGTATTGACGACGTGCGGATGGCTGGGAGTTGCTTAATTGACGCAAGGTGGCGGTTCGATGGGCTGCTGTGGAATTATCAAGGGGAACTAGATTGCCTTCGGCGGTGCGAGGTATGATGATGGTTGAAGGAACTTTTTTGGGGTGAAGACCACTATAGACAGCACATAGAGGTTGTGAACGACGATTGTTCTCCATCGTTGAAGATTTTCAAAGTACAGTTTTAAAGTATTAAAAAATATCACCATTGAGGGAATGATTATTATTTATATCATTATGCCGAGGGATAAGTTAAGGAGAAAGGATATATGCTAAATAAATACAATATGTTACCCAACTACGACTTGCTCTACTCAGGCCACCTTACTACTTTTACTAAAAAAACAGCAAAGGTCCTTACTTTGTACTACGTATAGATTTATTAATATATACTATCTAAAGATGAATAAATATATTTTAATCGTAAGCGATTTAGGTTTTCAATCGTGTCCTAATAATTAATTAATTGAATTTTATATTTTAAACTCTTTTTCTTTAATATTTTTATACGTAAACTAGCGACTATTATTAGTCTTAAGTTATAAATAAACCTTATAATATAAATATTAAATTAAGTACCTAATTTTTAAAATGAAAAATTTTATATTAGTTTTATTTATTATAATTTATGGTATATATTATGTATATTAATAAGTATGTTTTAATTTTCATTATTTGAGATTTTAATAACATATATTAAGAAAGAGCAGAGCGTACGCGATATTAGAGTCCTGTTAGGAACTACGTTTAGAAAGGGTACCAAGAGGTACTGTTACGGAGCGGGGTAATACTAAAGTACCTAAGAATTAGCCCCAGAGGACCTTTTTATTTCCCGACGGAAGGCTACCTAACCGACGACGACAACTTTTAAAACAATTAGCGGTAAGAAAAGGAAGCTTACCAAATTGATTATTAATCGTTTATATAAGGCGAAGGATATTTCCTTTATAAAATAATTACTTCTTTTATTTCCAAGTTATTAACCTAAGTATATAATTTCTTCTTAAGAATTACTTTAAAACGAAGTATTAAAACGTACGTAAAGGATTGGTTTGATAAATCTACCCTTATTCTCGTAATATGTTAAGAAAATATATACGATAACTCTATTATTAAAGTATATAAGCAGGCCGTAACATTTTAATAATTCTTTGATTTTTGAAATCCTTAAAGGGTATAAGTAACCCTCTCTTAATAAGAGAAATAAAGTACGTAAATAACCTCAACTTAAAAGGAAATAACGAGTCTTTAAATAACCTTGTTTTAAGAGAAATAGAATCCTTAAATAACTCTTCGCCTCTAGCCGAAGAAGATAAGAAGCCTAAGATAACCGTATAACTACGATTAAATAATAAAAGAAGGTTATCTGGAAGCTAAACTATTACAACCCACCTATATTTATTAGTAGTACGGGGTAGCCCTCGACGATTTTATTAACGTTTATATAAACAATATCTTTATTTATATAAGCGGATTTTTTAAAGACTATATAATTAAAATACGTATAGTTTTAAAGCGCTTTTATGAAGCTAGCCTTTATTTAAACCTCGGAAAGTAAGAATTTATAATAACGATTATGAAATACTTAAGGTTTATTATATATACTAGTAAAGGAATATAAATAAATCCGAAAAAGATAAATGTAATATTAAATTAAGAGGCTTTTACGTTAATAAAAGAAGGTTTTAAAAAGCTTTTTAAGATTTATTAATTATTATTATATATTTATCTTTAAATTTTCCGAGGTTACCGCTTCTTTTATTATTTTAATAAAGAAGAAAGAAAATTTTAAATAAAACCTTATTTACGAAAAGGCGTTTTAACGCTTAAAGACCTAATTTAAGTTAGCGTTTATTTTAACGTAATGAGATCTAGATAAATTAACGTTTTTAAAAGTCAATCACTCAAGGTGAACGTTCGACGGCGTATTTTTTTAATAGGTTGAAAAGGGAAAAGAAATGATACCTTTTTACTTTTAAAAATTAAAACCGGCCCAAATTAATTATCTAATTTACAATAAAAAATATTAATGATTATTAAATATTTAAAATAATAAAACGCCTAATTGAAGAGCTATAAAAATTTAATATCATAATCGATTATAAAAACTTGAAATATTTTATAACTTATTAACGCTTTTCGAAACGATAAACGCGTCAAACGGAGCTTTTATCTTGGTATAACTTCGATTTCGTTTATCGCGTTAATAATTAAATCGCGGTTCCCGACGCGTTCTCCCGAAAGAATTAAAACCGATTACATATAAACGATAAGAATTACGGTATTATAGCTTATTTTTAAACAGGCTTTTCAAAATTAAACCTACGTAATAATAACGCTTTAATTTACCGGGCCCGACGTTAAATTTTCGAAAATGACGGACTTTAATTTCTATAAAAAACGGTATATTTTCATACATTATATTAATAAACCTATTAAATAATAAAATAACGCGTTTACTTTTTCGCCCTGATTAAAAAATTAAAAGTATAAATCGCAGAACATATAATAAATACCGAAGAACGATTATTATTTAAAGACCGGATATAAATATCGGGGGATCCGTTTTCTGAAAACGCGGAAAATAATTCCTTAAATACGATTTTAATTAACGAATTATAAATGAAAATAATTCCAAAAAAACCCTACGACATCTACGTTATCGTTTATCGCGGTAAAAAATGATTATAACGATTTAAAGCCGAAACTTTTATTAATCGATACTTTATTTATACGTAAAAAGGTTTATTTATAACTATAACGTTCACGGCCGCTTCAAATTATAAAGGAAATATAAAAACAAAGCTCTTTAAATTATTTTTTATATTTAACCGTTACTTTAAGGATGTATAAATAAATTTTATCATGAATCTTTTCCTATCGAGAGATAATCTTTATATTAAAATAATTAAAAACCGCGTAAATAAAATAAATTTTAATCCTCGAGCTGATACTTATTATAAATATAAAAACGTATACGGAAGGCTTCTTAACGTATTATATCCGGTATTATAATTAATTGAGGAACATTATAAGCGATAAAAAATCGAATTAATTAAATCGTTTTTAAAGTTAGTTTTATTATTTAATAAATATTGAATGAAAATTAAATATAGTTTAGTATTTTTTAATACACGGAAGTTCTGAAATGATTAATTAAAAGATTTAAACGGTATTATAAAGCTATATCAATAATAAATGAAACGATTAAATATAATAATTATTTATCGTTTAATTAGCGTTAAATAAACGGTTTAATATTTTAATAAGGCTTTTTTTTACGATATACGGCTTCGATTAAAACCCTGTATCCGCGGTTTCTACCTATTTAAACGCGGAAATAATACCTTTACCGCCGGAACTCTAGGCGAAAGCGTTCGTAAATAAGGTTCGTATACGTACTTTTAAAACTTCGTATAAGTAATATTAACCGTAACCTTTTAATAATACGAATTTTACGTTAATTAAAAACAATCCTCGGAAAGACTTTAAATAAGCGATAAAGTATAATTTTATTTTATTTATTATAATACGAATACATTCAAAAAGAAATTCGATTAATTAAGAGCGAAATATATAGTTACGAAAATATTACATCTATACGTTATCGAAATAAAAAATATTCTGACTAAAATCGATAATGAATTTTATGTCGATTAATTACGGAAAACGTATACGGACGAATTATCAAATTATTTAAAACGATTTATAATTTTTATTTATTTATTAAAAAGGTTAACGAATTTATTAGAAAAGAAATTCTTTACGTAAAAAGTACAAAGGTAAATAAAGGTGAATAACGTAAAATTCTAATACGTTAAAAGGGCTATTAAGAATTCTTTTAATATCTAGTATCCGATTTTCTAGAAATAAAGGGGTTAAACGTTTACGAGAATAAATATAAATTAATAACTGTAAATAATAATTTAAAAGAAAAATATACGACTTGAAAAAACTCAAAATTACGATTTATTAAGAAACGAAATATTTAAAAATTAAATCGCGAGGTTAAATCTTTTTTAAACATTATAAAGGCGTTATTTAATATTTAAAAAAAGCATTCTTTAAAAAAAACCAGAAAAAGAAGAAAGGCGATTAATCGTCGTCGTTATCGTAATCGTTATCCTCTTTCCTCGGAAAGGACTCGAAAGTATCGGCTTCTTTACCTTCTTTATCGAGGACAAAATAAATAGTAAAGGAACGGCGGACGCGCGTAAAGCGATTAATACTTAGCGTTTCGAAGAAAAGAAGAAAAGCTAAGGGACGGAAGCGATATTTTTACTATAATCGATTCTTTAAAGGGGATAAACTTTCCGTACTTTATAAATCGGTCGATTATTATTTATATATTATCGTACGTAATTTCTATAGCTAGGTCTTTTAATAACGATAATTTTATAAAAAAGGTTTATACGATTATATCCCAAGCTTTATTCGGTATCAGGATAGGTTATAATAAGCTATAGAGTTTATATCTCGATATTTTTACCTTTTAATATATATTATATTTCTTTAAACCTTTTTATTTTTTTCCCGAGGAATTTATATTCTTTCTTTATTTATCAATATATTTTATATGTTCCTTAATGTTTATGTAACGAATACTTATTACATTTTTATATAAATTATTACTAAAAGGATTGAGATATATATCTAGTATAGGCTGTACTTATTATAGGGCCTTAGCTAGTGCTAAGGCATGGTATGTAACTAGCCCCTTAGTACTTCCAGAAGATAAGGCTAGCTACTATAAGTACGGCTTATAACGTATATTTTCCCTCTTTTCTTACCCGTAAATCGTAAATATACGGCTTTTATTTAGCGAATAGCTTTTAAAAGTATAATAAAAAGCTAAACTAACCTTCTTTTAATCGCTTTACGGAATTAATATCTTAGCGAGCGGAATTAATAATAGGAACGGCGAAGTAGTACTTAGAAAAGTAGTAGCTAATAAGTTAACAGTCGTAAAGGCGGTATTAATTTTAGATATATATATCGGCAGTACTTACGAAAAGAACCGATAAAATAGGTAACGAATTAATTTTTTAACGAGCGGGATTAATAGTAGGAAAAGCGATATTATACTCATAGTTAAGTTTAGAATTAAAAATGCGGTATTAGCTTTTACATTTACGCGCCGGTAATGATTACGAGAGAGAACCAATAAAAGATAATTAAAAAAAGACCGATAACCTGAGAAAACGTAATTTAAACGGTAAATTTGAGATGAAAAAACGACGAAATCGACGAAATCGGCCGTTAAAAAAGGCGGAAAATTTTTTTCCCAGAGAAAAATAGTAAAGCGTTAAAACCTAACGGTTAATAAAGTTAAACA